ACACCTTAGTGTGAGCTGTGAGGGGTGATGAGGCCGCTGCTGGAGATGCTGGGTGCAGTTGTTTCTAAATTTGGCTGTGTTTGGGCAGGTAGGGACAGTCTGACACACAAGATTTGGTTTTCCATAATCTGGCTGGGAAGCACCAGCTCTGATAAAGCTGCTGCTCAGCGCCAAGGCAGCTACACGGTTGCCATGGTTACCACATGCTTATTTTCACCATCTTCCTCACCTCAGCCGGGGTGCCCCGGCATTCCCAACCCTGAATCCCCCCTGACCTCAATCGGGGTGCACTGGCATTCCCAGCTCCGAATTCCCCCAGACTCCAGCTGGGTGCACCAGTATTTCCAATTCTGAATCCCCCCCGGACCTCAGCTCATTTCCTAACACTCCAGTTTGGATTTCCCAACGCTGCTGTGACCCCCCTGTCATCTCAGGACAACTTGAGCCCTGATCTCTTGCACCTTTTAGTTGTGGATCCCATCCTGTTTCTCCTTGTGGATCCAATCCTTCTGCTCTTTGTGGATCTGATCCTCCTGCTCCCCGTGGATCCAATCCTTCCACTCTCCATGGATCTGTTCCCCCTGCTCGATCCCTGCGGATCCTGTCCCCCCCCCTTGCTCCCAGTGGCTTTGTCCTACAACCCGGTAAATCCCGGTCACAGGGAAGCGCTCCTCACCATGGCAACGGCGGGATTGCGTCAGGGCTTTTCTTTCCAACTGCAAAGCTGGATGAGCAACTCCCTCGGGGACAGGAGTAAGGGAGAAGGGAATATTCTTTTTCCCTGGGGCGCTTTGGGACTGCCAGTTCCCTAATCCAGCCCTGCTTTGGTGTTTGCTTGAGGGTCCAAGGCTGCCATGGGCCAAACACGGTGGGGACAGCGAGGGTTCCCATGCCAGGGACACCGAGGGGACACTGAGGCCTCCGTGTCCCTTCCCTGCTCCTGCTATAAGATGATCTTGCAGGGAAAACCAGGAAGGAGCCAGATTCTTGGTGTTGGATGGGGTGGAGGCTCAGCCATGAGCTCTGCTCCGGTCCGGCCTCACGTCCCCTCCTTTCCTGCAATCCCAGCAAAAACAAAGGCAGGGGAGGCGGCTCTTGTGCCCTGCAGGATGTGCTGGGGCGTGCAGAGCTCCCCCAGCGCTGTGCCTGGAGCAGGGGGGACGCTCCCAGGGGCTCTGCCAGGCTCAGGAGCAGGAATGCAGGGGGAAGGGGGGTGCCTGCAGGGCTTTGTTCGCTCCCAGCCCCGGGTAAGGCACAGCACCAGAGGAGGAGGAGATGTGGCACCCACTGCCCCGTCCTGCCCTCCCCTGAGCGCTCCCATCCCAGCCCTGGCCCGGAGGAGCTGCTGGGTGATTTGGGAACCTCATCAGAGCAGTGCCCGGGGCGGGGGCTGCCCTTGGCTCCCCAGAAGGTGCCGGGGCTGCCGAGCAGGTTTGGGCTCAGCTGCTGCGCGGCTCTGGGCGATTCTCTGAGTGCAGGGATTGGGAAAGGTCCCTACAAACACCACGGCAGGGTGGGCACCCCCAGAGAAGGCCGAGCTGCCTGGGTGTGGGATGTGCTGGAGGCAGGAGAGAGGCTCATGTTGGTGTGGGAGTGGCACGGGGTGAAGGCAGGACTCCTCCTGTCACTGCTCCTCCACGGCATTTCCATGTGGCACCATCCCTGCTGTGCTGCTGGACGGGCAGAACTTCCAGGAAATCATTAACAGGATGTTGGGACCTACAACCTCTGCCCTTGGAAGCTGTAAAAAATAGGTGATAAAAACATCAGTCATGTGTGGGGGGATTGCTTGAATCAGCTCCAGGTGATCCCTGAGGTCCCTCCAGCCTCTGGTGATTCATGATTTCCCATGGCTGCACCTGAGCACACAAACAGCCCCACTCCAGAGCGGATATTTGCACTCCCTAAGGAAGTGCTGGCACTTTTGCCAAATTGGGTCACTCAGCCCTGCTCACAGCCAGATCCAGGTGATTGAAATTAGGGCTCAGCCAGGGGAAACACCCATGGGTGCTCAGGCCTGGAACTCACACAGGAGTGATCTCTGTGTCTCCTACGTGGTGTTGCCTTTTTGGGACCCCTGGCCAGGTCCTTTCTGCTGCAGGAGGTGAATCCTGGGCTGTTTCAGTGCTTAATTAACTGCCCTAATGACAGGTGCAAACTGCCTGCCCGGCTGCTCCCAGCACCGCTCCCAGCCTGTGGGACATGCAGGGATGTCCCTGAGCCCCTTGGGCTGGTGACACGGGGCAGCTGCAGCCCCTGTGTGCAGCCTGATCATGGAATACCCACGAGGATTTGTCAAATCCACAGCTGATGCCATGTCTGATGCCCTGATCTGGAGCACTGAACCCTCCTGGCAGCAGCACACAGTGTCCACTTGGTGCAGCTCTCACCTGGTGTCACTGGTGACTCTCACTGTCAAAGCAAAGGCACCAACACGCCCCAGGGAGATGGAAATCACACTTTTGGGACACAACCAAGCGGGGCTGTGCTCGCCATTCCATGTCACAGGAGCTCCTCTGCTCCCAGCAGCCCTTCATCCTGCTGGGACTCAAATTCCCCCGAAGCAGCAAAGGTTCTCAGTGCTATTTTCACAACACCCGACGTGCCTGGCTTTGTGTGGAGTCAAATCCCAGTGAATCCCAGTGTTCATTTGTCCCTCGAGGTTTGCAGCAGGGTTGGTGTTGACTGTCCAGTATCTCAGGCTGGAAAATGGCTCCGTGCATCAAGGTCACTTTATCCACCCTCATCACAGACCAGGAACGCTCACGTTAATGGGTCTCTAATTTAATTGAAATGCTGTGCCTGTGATTGCAGGGCTGGAATCTTTTCCTCTCTTGAAGGGCAAAAATCAATTTGCAGTAACAGCAGACATGTCTGCTCCCTCCTCCAGGCCTAGGAAAGTGGGTAAATTTTTTCATGGTAGGAAAATAATAATATTGGCCTGGTGTGTCATCAATATTGGGTGTTTTTAAGTGCTTTTGAGCACTTTGGTGGCAGCATTCTGTCCCTGTGGCCCTGTGAGCTCAGAAAAACCACAGATGTGGTGCCCCTGGGTTTTGTAATTACTGTATTAGCCATGTACAAACTGCCCTTTTCCTGCAGATCCCAAAGGGATCACAACAAATCAGGGAGGGAAAGCCTGATTTCCACGCTCTGGGAGGCAGGGAATGGGTGATCACTGCTTGACAGAGCAATCATGGCCAGGTTTCTTTGCATCTCCCCGTGGTTTGTTTTTCCTCAGTCTCAGTGCGTGGTTTGGAAATCGGTCACCAAATAGTGGTGATTTCTGTACTCTGGTGATTTTGTTTTGTGCAGCCTGGCTCAGACTGGAAATATTGGGAAGGAAGGACGGAAGGAAGAAAGGTGGCCAGTGGCTGCAAACTCCGTCTGCGAACTGCAACGTGAATTACAAGGAGTTTCTGGAGGCAGAGCAAAGGTGTCTGGTCCTGCCTGGGACAGGGGACACACAGAGTGACCCCTGCTGTGTCCAGTCCTGTCCTTGGACACAGGACACACACAGTGACAGCCTTGCCATGTTTCCTTCCCGTTTCCTGCACACTGCTATTCCCTCCCATCCATCTCCTCCTCTCCAATCTATTTATTCACGTGCATCTCTTCCCCTCCAATGTTTCCAAACACTTTTCTACATGAGATTGTAATTATTGTATGAAACACTGGCCATTTTTATTTTGAGGCCTTTCAAAACTGTGTAGCCTCTCGATAAGACGTGTCTTTGGCTTTGCCAGTTTTCTCTTTCAACACAAAGTTTTTACTGCTGAAGGCATTCTCACCTTTGTCAAACCTCAGGATGGACTTTTAAAGACTTCATTCTTTGGCAAAACAGGTTGAACAAAGACTTTTATTTTTAAAGAAAACTTTGTTGCTTTAACTACTTCTCACCATCATATCCCAAGTGCATATCGGACAACACTGCAAGGAGGGATCGTTCCCCACGGGACAAAGAGAAGGGCGGTCAGTTTGCGGGGACAGGACGGGTTTCCTGAGCGGGGCGGTGACCGGACGGGCCGCAGCGGGAGGAGCCGCCGGACCCCGGCCGGGGGCAGTGCTCGGCACCCAAGATGGCGGCGGCCCCTGAGGGGGCCCTTTGTCTGTGGCCGCCGCCGCAGTGCGAGAAGGGCGCGAAACTGGGCCAGCCTGGACACGCCCCCTTCGCCAGAGGGGCGGGGCGGCCGCGCCCCCCGCCCAATCAGCGACCTCCACTTCCTTCCCTCTCACAGGGGCGCTCCCGCCCGCCTCCGCGCGCGCAGCCAATGGGCGCCGTCCGTCGCGCCCCGCCCCCGCGTGGGTGGAGGGGGTGGGGCCACGCCGTGGTTTTGTTTGCGCGCCCCTACCTTCTCCCCCGCCGTGGTTCATTAATATTAATAAAATCCCGCCCAATCAGGTGGTGCAGCGGCGGCAGCGCTTTGGTGACGTGTCGCCCCTCCTTGCAGCGGGGTTCATCTGCATATTCATAAGATAGGCGGGATGAGGCGCGGGCGTTTATAAGGCGCCGCCCCGCCAGGCTCGCCGTACATTTCGCTGAAGCTTTGAAGTGTTGTGTGGACCTCGCACTGCCCGGCTATCGGTGAGCGCAGTCGCGCGGGGCGGCCGCGACCGCACCGGGCCGGGCGGTCCGCAGTGAGCGGAGCCGTGTCCCAGGGGCAGAGGGCCGGGTCCCGCGGGAGCCTGGGCCGCGGCTCCCGGCCCGCCGATCGGTGCCCTCTGCGGGCACGGGGGGCACAGCGGAGCGGGCCGCTTTGTACCGTGTCGGGGAAGGGGCCGCGGCGGGGGAAAGGCGTGCGCGGAAACAAAATGGCGACGGGCCTCGGCCGTGCAAAATGGCGGGCGGGAGGGAGGGGGCGGCGGGCGGCGCTGCCCAGGGCAGGCCGGTAGGGGGCGATGCGGGCGCGCATGCGCCCTGGGCACGGAGGGGCCGGTACCAGGGGTCCCACCGGGGGTTGGCGGGACCCGACCCGGCCGCGGGTTCTACCGGGGCCCGGTCCCAATGCTGCTCCCCTGCCCTTGGCCCTGAGCCTCGCGGAGTCCTATTTGGGCCCTCGCTCCCGCCGTCCCTGAGGGAGACCCCCTTGTAAGGCTGGAGGACCGCATAAGGCGTCCGGCAGTGTGAGATCACATTGGTGTTGTTATAGGTGGCGTTAGAAGGATTTATTGTTTTAGACCTCTTGGGGATTGTGTGGGGTTTTTGAGTCGCTGACTCGGTTCTGTTGGTTTGGCAGGTCAGAATGGCATCAGATGAGGGAAAGCTCTTTGTCGGCGGGCTCAGTTTCGACACCAATGAGCAGTCATTGGAGCAAGTCTTCTCTAAATACGGACAGATTTCTGAAGGTGAGACTGCAGAGCCACGATGGGATAGTTTCCCGAAGTCTGTTAAATTTCCCTGGTGCTGATTGGTTTTCGTTTCCTATCTCTCCTTTTCACAGTCGTGGTGGTGAAAGACAGAGAGACTCAGAGATCCAGAGGTTTTGGCTTTGTTACTTTTGAAAATATCGATGATGCAAAAGATGCAATGATGGCCATGAATGGAAAGGTGAGGAGGCCCTAGAGTTGATTCTTTATTTCCTGTAGTGTGGAGGAAGAGAATTAGAGGTGTGCTGCTGTTCAGGCTGTGTGGAAAAACAGATAAATGCCAGTATCTTAGATGAGATGATATGAATATAAAAAGTCTGGCTGTATGAATTAATATGTAAAAGAATATATATATATGTATATATGTACTAGGAGTAAAACTATAAAGTTCCATTACTGAATCTGGATGACTGATATATGACTTCATAGGTATTTCTGTATATAATATATAATATTATAATAATATTTCTTAATATATCAATTTTTTTGCCTACTTGATTTAATTGTGGCATGGAAGAGACGTTTGTTTATTTCACAAGCAGCGAGTCCTGGCACTGCTCAGCCAACTATGAAGGCGTGCAACTTGTTCTACGTGTGCTTTCTATTTAAATATTTCGGTTTGGCTAACCGTGGTTGTGTTTTAGTCTGTAGATGGGCGTCAGATCCGAGTTGACCAGGCTGGGAAGTCCTCAGAGAACAGATCCCGTGGCTACAGAGGGGGATCTTCAGGGGGCCGGGGCTTCTTCCGCGGGGGCCGAGGCCGGGGCCGTGGCTTCTCCAGAGGTGAGTGCATGGGGCTCACTCATAATGTCTGCATGGGGGGGGTCTCAATTGTCAGAATGGTTGAAAAACCTCATTTCCTTGTCTTTCCAAGGAGGTGGAGACAGAGGCTATGGCGGCAGCAGATTTGATTCCAGAAGCGGAGGCTATAACGGCTCCAGAGACTACTATAATAGCAGGTAAGGGCTCTGCCAGCAGCAGGGATGGTGGGGAGGCTGTGGTGGGGCTCAAAGCAGCAGAGAAGGAGTTGAGCAGCTGTAAAGCGAGTTCTGTTTGTCCTGCAGGAGTCAAGGTGGCTATGGAGACAGGAACTCAGGAGGCTCCTACAGAGACAGCTATGACAGTTACGGTAAGTGCCGCTTCGAGCGGGAGCGCTGAGTCCGTGTGCTGTAGGAGCTCTGAACCTGCTGAGCCTGAGCCTGCAGCTGGGGCAGGCTCAGGCTGTGGACGTGGTGGTGCCGGGAGATTCTAATTTAATGCATGTGCAGGAGTTGCTCGGATCTAAGGCAAAGCAAGTGTTTTAAAAAAAAAAAAAAAGGTGTTCCAGGAGCCCAAACTCGGCTGCCCTAACGCACTGACCCGCGGGTGGGGGATCTCAGTAGCCAAGTAGCCGTAGCCTTGGAATAATGCAAAGGGAGTAAAATGCTGGAACTTGTCTTTGCTTCAGTGCCTTTACAATTGTGCCTGCTTCTTGTCCTCAGCTACACACAACGAGTAAAAATCCTTCCTGACTCAAGATCGTCCTTCCAATGGCTGTATTTATAAAGATTTTTGGAGCTTCGCTGAAATGGTTATTGTGTAGTACATCTACTTGTATTTTCACTTTTGTAGTATTATCAGTTCTGATCTTGTCATACACAGCCTGGCAGCTTCTGAGACGAGACTGTCTGATTAGACTGTCTTGGAGAAAGCTCTGCTTTCAAGTGGTTTTAATCTTTTTTGAAAGCACTTCAGATTTTATTTTATCCTCCATGAATGAGCCAAGGTGTTCGTTTTTGGTTGGTTTTTCTTTAAGTTGGGGCCCCAATTCAGTTTCTTTTGAGCTAGCAAGGACCTTGTACCAATGTTCACTAGAAGCTGAACAAGCTGTGGACTTTTTTTTCTTCTTTTTTTTTTTTTTTCAAGTGCATTACCTTCGTCTTTTGTAACATTCCTTTAGTGTAGCAAGGTAGGAATGCAGCTTGGGTTCCGTTGGAAGGCAAACCACCTTGATATATCTAAAGAGAAACGTGCTTGTATGTTCAACCCGCATAACGGTATTTTTACTGTTGTAATGATGTAAATGACCCAGAACTAGACTTGCAAACTTACCATAAAGAGGTTCTTGAAAATGTTTATTTATATTGTCCTTTTTTACTGGAAGAAATATGCATATTCCATTGCTGTTGTATTTGAAGTGGTAAAGGATTCCTGTATACAGTTTTCTTTGGCTTTACGAAGCCTATTAAAAGACCGTCTGAAATGAACTCTGCTCCTGACATTTACATTTCATTGCACAACACAACCTTTGGAGATGAAGAACAGTCTTGGAAGCGAGAGGAGGAGATTAGGGACAGTGGCAGAGCTGGCCGGACGATTGCCCGGCCGCTGGAATTTTAATCCTAAAATCGGTCTTGACATCTGAATTGGCCAAGAAATTTCACATAACGTAGTCAAAACTTGTCTGTAGAGGCTGGAAGTACAAACCTGAGGGCGTGCTAGGAGCGAAGTGCAGTTGGAATGTTAGGAAGGATAATGGATGTTTCCTGCAAAGCTGCTGTAGGCTACACTGGGACCTGTAGAAAAGAGCCAAGTGCTGTAGTCCCTGGGCTGTTCCCTGCGTGCCGAGCGCGTGTGCGATGTAGGGGAATGCCGGGCTTAGCTTAGCTGTGTCATTGCTTACAAGTTCTAAGAATTCTTTGCTAGCAAATGGAAACTGCAGTGTCCTTGGAGAAAAGAAGTGTTGTGCCTCCAACAGAAACCTCTGAGACGAGAGCTGCTCTCTTGGCTAGTTCATATGTGGAAATAGTCCTGTAATTCGAGGTAACTCCTTTTGCTCATGTCCGCATCCTTCCTCTTGTTGAGAGCTCATTTGAAAGTCTAATGTACCTGTGAAATATTCCTTTTGACAATTTTGGTCAGCTGCTGGAAAAACGTTAACCCATGCCGTATGCAACCTTTGGCTTGTGGCACACCTTGAGTTCCACAGATCAGAGTTGGGCATGCAGCCGTGTCTTGCTGTAGGTACGGAAGCAAGATTGGAACGAACTCCCTGACTCGATATGTGTTCATCTATTGAGACTCTTCCTAGACTTCATTAAGTTGCTCACTTTAATTGTAGCTTTCTTTGCCATCCTACTTGTTGCCATTAACTTTTTCCCATGGCCCACACTTCCTAAGCAGCCATGTCCAAGTGTTAACTCTCTGCTTAGGGGATCCAATCCATGGGCTGGCTGAGCACGGGCAGCAGCCGGCCCGGAACAGTTTTCCCAGACTGTGCTTTGTGGTGTGATGGGTTCAGCGATGGCTTGTGAGACCCTCGTGCGCTGTGAGCTGTGTGGGGAGGTTGGGGGCAAGAGCAGCCTCTGCCCTGGGCTCTTGTTAATGCCTCTCTGCTTTAGCAGGCTGAAGGGACCCGGCACACGCTTCGGAGGCCCAGCGGATCCTGAGCGACCAGAGCTGCTGCGTTCCAGGGATACTGCAGCAAGTTTGCCAACCAGGTAATAACATCCCTTTCCTGAGGTTTTTTTCCTTTAGCAGTGTCCCTGTTCCTTATCCCTAAGTTGCTACAGTAACCCTCTTCCATTCCTGTATCTTTATCCACCTTCCAATTCTCTTGTGTCCGTTTCGTTTCAGCGCTGAGACGCGTCAGAGAGGACAGAAGGACAGACACTGGAGTGCAGAGATGAAGAGCTCAAAGCAGTGGTGTTGCTCATTTTTACGTGAACCAAATCAGTCAAGACAGAATAAAACACTGAAATGTGGAAAAAACAAATCTCTGTGGTACTTTTTGTGGGAAACAGTATGTTTTTGGCAAAAGTATTTGTCTGGTGCACAGCCCAGTTCAGAGCACAGAGCCAACTGCCACTGTGGTGCTTGGAGGTGGACACACTCTGCTCCAAGCAGACTGATGTGTGATCCTCATGGGACATATGAGGTCTTGTTGTGAGTTAAATCCCAAAAATGTGGCAGCTCGGTGATGAGGAGGATTAATATAATTATGCTGGGAGAGGCTGACACTCTGTGTTTCTGGCAGAAGATTGCAGGGTGAGAGCAGTGAGAGTTTTTGATGATCTCAGCTGCTCCTGCCCTTTTTTTTTGTGTTAGAGAAGAGCTGATTGCTTCATCCTGCCCTTTTCTACCCGTTTTTTAAACTGATAAACTCAGAATTTGGTGATGGGCTCATTCAGAAGCCCTGAGGACTTGCTGCCCAAGAGCCATCAGTTCCCCATTTTCCACTGATAGGAGTCTCCAGACATTCCTGCCTGCAGGAGGGGATTATTGAGCTCACTTCACAAAACCTACTTTTCCTCCTTTAACCTCTTTCAAATTATCTAAGTGAACAGCATTTAAAAAAAGCAATCAGCCATGACACACTTCTGGGGGTTGAATTGAGCAATTCACCAGTGAGGATTTTTTGCATGTTAATGCAGGAGGATATGAAATATAATGAAAGCTGAGGAGTGTGTGAAGTCTTTGCTGATAAAAATGCAGTCAGGTGAGGCTGAAATGAATTCAGGCTGAAAATACTTACAAATAATGCTTTGTAAGACCTTCCTAAATAGGATGCTTAGACGCAGGCAGAAATAATGAACAGGTGCAAAAATAGCCTGGTTGAAGGTGCTGTTATTTTTGGCATTGCTAATTATGCCATTGAGTTAATGATGTCTTGTTGGGATGGGTGAGAGAATTGCTGGAGCCAGGGGCTGGATGTGGAACCCAGTGGCGTCATCCGGAAGGTGTCTGGGTGCCGTGGGTCTGACGTGAGCTCGGGTGACCCAGTTTTAACCAAAATGCCCTTTTTTTAAAGTAAGCCCTGTGTGTCCAGGCAGCTTAAGCCATTCCCTGAGGAAAAATGGGGAAGTGGAGCAGGGCTGAAGGGCCTGAGCCCTGCCCAGCAGTGACTGAGCCCTGTTCAGCCCGAAGTGTCTGCAGAGAGTAAAAATGGGGAATAGAAATTCTCGAAATGCTCAAAATGCTTCTATTTCCAGCTGTGTTCACCATGGGGCGGGAATGGCCGCCCTGAAGGGAGAAGGAGAACCCTGAGGGGGAAATGGCGGCTCTGGGGGAGAAGGTCCTGCTATGAGGGGGAAGTGGTGACACTGAGGGAGAAATGATGACCCTCGGGGAAAAGGTCCTGTTATGAGGGGGAAGTGGCGACACTGAGGGAGAAATGATGACCCTCGGGGAAAAATGGTGGCCTTGAGGGGGGAGGGAGAATCCTGAGGGGGAAATGGCGGCTCTGAGGGAGGAATGAGAGCCCTGAAAGGGCAATGGCAGCCCTGAGAGAGGAAGGATGACCCTGAGCGGAAAATGGCGTCTGTGGCGGACGGGGTGTTGCAGTGAGGGAGAAATGGCGGCCTCGCCCAGGGGCACGCAGCTCCCGAGGGCAAACAACAACAACCCTGAGGGCAAAATGTCGGAGCCCCGCGGCGGCTTCGTGAGTGGGTCACGGCCGGCCCGGAACGGCGCAGCCCCGGAACCCGCGAGCGGTTCCGCGGGGCCCGGGCGGGGCCTGAGCCGCGCGCACCGTCCCGGCGCCTTCCTGCGGCCGCCACTCCCGCTCCGCCGCCCCGGCCCGGCCATGCCGCGCCTCCTCCTCCTCCTCCTCTTCCTCCTCCTCGTCCCGCACCTCGGCCGCGCCGCCGCCCCCAACCCGGGGAACAGCACGGAGCCGCCGCGGGCGGTCACACGGAACGAGACGCAGTCGGGAACGGAGCACGAGTCCGGGCCGAGGCTGTCGGTGGGGTCGGGGCTGCCGGTGCTGAGGCGCGCTGTTTATGTGCTGAGCGCTCTGTCGGCGCTGGCCGCCTTCTACTTCATGCTGCGGGCGTTCCGGTGAGTGCAAAGCGGGGACAGACACCCGAGCGCGGCTGTATCCATGTTCTGCTGCTCCCGCTCCTGCTCTTGTCCCCATTCTGGTGTCGCCTGACCCAGGGCTGTGTCCCTGCTGGTCCCGGTTCCTGTTCCCGTTATCCCGGGCTGTGTCCCAGCTTGTCCCGGTTCTGGGGTTCTCTACCCTTCTAGTCCTGGTTCCCGTTGGTCGGGGATGTCACCCTGATTGTCCTGGTCCTGGACCCAGTCCGCGTTGCTTGTGGCAGTGCCCTTGCTTGTCCCGGTTGTCCCGGTCCCTGTCCCCTCTGCCCGTCCCGGTCTTGCTCTGGGTCCCCCGAAGCCGGTCACGGTGTCCCTTGTCCCTTGCCTGTCCCAATTCCGCTCCTATTCCCTGGGTTTGTGCCCATTTTCCCTGAATTCCCCTCCCTCCCTCCCTCTGCCAGCCGGGGCTCTGCCTCCCCAGCGCATTCCTTTGGCAGCGAGTCCAAAACGTCGCTGTAAATCCCTCACACTGTTAATTACCCGAGGTAATTAGCGCTAAACCATCTCCGCTAAAACCACCCGCTGGGTGGGGACAGCGCCTCACTCACTGTGCTCTCCGTGTCCCTCAGCCCCAGGTCCGAGGGCCCCAGAAACGAGCCCAAAACTCATTTCAGGTTGAAGAAGCCCCAGAGGAAGAAGTACGGGCTGCTGTCGAACCAGGATGAGAACATCGAGCTGGGCTCCCTCGACAGTGACGAGGACACCGTGTTTGAAAGCCGGAACCTGAGGCGGTGAGGGAGCATTTTGTGTGTTTTTTTGTGTTGCTCTTTTCCTCACAAGGGGCTGAGGCTCCTTTCCCAAAGCTGTGGGAGCTCTGGCACAGCTCCTACAACCAGATCTGCATAAATTAAAACGCCTGTGTGTGGTCTCTGTGTTGGCACACGGATTTATCTCACTTTTCCTCGTTTTCTGGCCCAGGAAAAGTCTCACTGACAGGGTTATTTGGACACTACTGTGGGGTCACAGAGCTGTTGGGAGAGCCCCTGTGCCCAGTCTGGGCCTCCCTGTGTTAGACAGGGAGGAATTGCTTCCAACTCCTATCACAATTCAAACTCCCAGTCCCATCAGGATATGCATTCCTGTTTTCCCAGCAAAATTCCTGGTTTGTTTTGTGTTTTCCTTTTTCATTTTTGGGAATTGCTTCCAGGTCTCATCACAGTTCCAACTCCCAGTCTCACAGGGATATATCCATTCCTGCTTTCCCAGCATTGTGTTCACATCCCACCAGTTTGATTTCTGGGGAGGTTGTTTTAAGCTGAGGAGGAATGTCACCTCAAGGAACATCACCTCAGCTCCCCCTGATTTTGGGTGTCTCCTTTTTGTTTTTTCCAGATGACTCGGGACCAGTGGCACTGGCTGCCTGGAATGATGGAGGGTCCAATCCCAGTGG